TGAAATAAACAAAGCCTCCTGTTTGTAGTCAACTCGTGAACACAATTCTCTGTGCTTAACAATACCAAATAATCTAGAAATCTAGCCAACCACACGACGTATGCATAAAAAAAACAGGGCAGAAAACTGACTCGTGGTCGACCGTCACGCCCAGCGTGATCGACCGTACTAAAAACAGAAACTCATTGTGTTTCTGTGCTCCCCAGCAGTCGACCGTCGCGCCATGCACGGTCGACCACGATCGATGGTTGACCATCGCGCCCAGCGTGGTCGACCGCGATTAAGACAGAAACTAAAATCCGATCTGTGCACGATACGCAGTCGACCGTCGCGTCACCCGCGGTCGACCGCGAAGCAGAAAAAATCCTATTTTTAGGTTTTTGTTCTAACTGATATCGATCTCGATCTTCATGTGGTGTTTATATGTACTAGCAACCCTATGCATGTGATTTAATATATCTGGAACATGGTATAAATAGTCTAATCATTATAGACAAAAAGAAACGATTTAAAACATGCATATATATGATGAAACCTTCAAAAACAATTATTTTTCTTTCAAAATTCTTGTTATACTAAACACCAGTTCAAAATCTGCACTTAGGAAAACGTGGGTGATCTGTATTAATCTGAAAACATGTTTTTTTGCAACATACAATATAAAGATCAACTTTTATACTCAAACTAGCATGTTAGGCTCAACAAAACCCGTGAAAAACATCATTTAAAAGCATTTAAAACTGGGTGTAGGGTTGAACGAGATGAAACTCGCCTGAGGGGTGATGAACAACTGTGGGTAAGGTCGTGAGGGGGTTCTCCTTCACTGAACACCGCTGGATCTCGCTCGAACTCCTCGAAATCCTCCAAGAATCGCCCAAAGAACAAGCTAGGGTTTGCAAGAGGGTAGGGGGAGGTTGCTAGGATTTTCTGTGATAACGATGGGGCTCTCCCAAATTATTTAATATATATAAGCTCTCAAACCCGACCCAAAACCCAACACAAACCGGACTAGGAAAAAATAGTCTGGTCACTGTGCGGTCGACCGCCGCGCCATGCGCGGTCGACCGCACGGCAGAAATCTGCTACGCATGAACCTATCGTGTGCTGGTCTTTTTCACTTGATTTCTCTCACATAATTATACTTATTTGATCCCAAAAAACTTGTTATCATACTCCTCTATGATCTAAACATATTTTTCACAATAAAACTCATTTATTTAAATATACAGGGTTTTACATGTCAGTCGGTCGATATATTCTCACCAGTCGACCGATGTTGTTCCAAAATCAGCCAATGATCATATTAATAGTCGATCGATATATGGCATCAGTCGACTGATTAGTACTATTTTTTGTAACGGCTAGTTTTTGTTGAGCTTTGTTTTTTAGGTATAAATACCCCTCAAGCCTTAGTTTTTCACTAGAGTTTTACAAGATAGTTTTGGGAAGTTATGTTTCACGTTTTTGAAGATCAAAGTTTGTTTATGTGAAGAGAGTTTCACAATAGAAGGATTTCAATTCCATTTTGAGAGTTTCAAACTCAAATATCTACATCTCTTGTTTGGAGAAGTTTTCTAAACTCTTCATCTAGCTTTTTAATACTTTGTTTCTCATATATTTATGCTAGATTGATTTGAGTTTAATTTTATTTTACTCATTGATTACACACATCCACTTGAGCTTTAGTATTTTATATATCGTATATTTGGATTGTAGGGGTAATTTATTGAGAGAGCTTATATTTCGTTCTCATTTGTATTGGAGAACAAATCCTTTACTTACACTTATTTGTTAAACGCGTTGTAATATATAAGAACACTTAGAGGAGTGGTTAGAGGGAGACCGGTGTTAATTCCAAGAGGAGTGAGTTGGTAGTAAAGCCTAGGGAGAGGTGGTACATCCAAACACTTGAGAAAGGTAACACGGGTAATCCAACACTTAGAGGAGTGTGGTTTGTGTGATTAACAACATGTGTATTGTAAATATTTTTCGGTGAACTTTGAAAATCGATTGTGTAGATTTTTGAGATAGTGGAGATCTCCTCGAGGTGAGGAGCGGAGACATAGGTCGAGTGTTAGACCGAACTCCGTGATCATACCGTTTGTTTGCGTTTGGCTTTGTCGTACTTTTCTTGTGCATATTTTTATATCACCTATTGACATATTATTGTATTATATATCATTGCTTAATCATCAATGCAAGGATAATTCATTATTAGTTTTAATTTGGCATCAATATCAGATTAGATTAGCAATTACCCTATTCATCCCCCTCTAAGGTACTTTCACTAATTTTCGGTGAACTCTGGCGATGACGACCGCGGGATCAATCACTGGCGATAACTAATTCAAATATTATTCTTGCAAGATAAATATACAATATGATATGAGCAAGAATATGCAATATGAACAATGAGATATATCTTATATGATAAAATTATATGCAAGGATATATAAACTAACACAATGGTGATATAATCAAACTATAAATGTGATAGGGCAAAATATACAAGAGTAATACGCAATTGGCAATATAAGATAAATGCATAAGTAAATGCGCCAATGACAAACTCAAGCACACTCAAATGATCACGGAGTTCGGACCTTCCGTCCTACGTCTCCGCTCCCCACTCCCGGGGAGAAATCCACTATCACAATCGGGTTTTCTACGCTTACCCGAATAATGTTTACACCTCACAATGTCGATTTTCAACGCTCACCGATCAACGTTCACAAACACTCACAATGTCGGTTTTCAACGTTCACCGATCAACGTCTACACTCCTCTCACTTGGTTTTCTAGCTAACCAAAAACTTTACAATCTTACAATGACAACAAATGATTTGTTCTCTAATACAATACGAGAACTTAATTAAAGCACACACTCAATTGTTACAACTCTCACCAACCCAAATATACTATGTATGAAAATACAATAAGCTCAAGTGGGTGTGTGTAAGCAATGAGTGAAATAAGATCTAACTCAATTAGCAAACTATCAATAATAAGAATATGAAAATTAATAATAAAATTGCTAGAGAAAAAAGTTAGAAAAACTTCTCTATAAATACAAAGGAGAGGATGAAGAAGATTGAGGATGAATCCCTCAATTGACAACGCAAGATTCCTCCTTTGTAAACAAAAACCCCAAACTTAAAACAAACTAAAAAAACTTTTAATCTCTTTTAAAACTTGTTTAAAACTCTCTCTTGGTTGTAAAAAATAGTTATGGCAAAGGGGTATATATAGGGTAGAAGAAAACAACCCAAAAAATCTCAAAAACCCACTAAAAAACTAAAAAACTAAAAAACAGAAGTTACCGTTACTATTCAATGGTCGGTGCTACAGTAATGCGGTCCTCCGTGCTACAGTGTGGTCGACCGCACTGTTCACAGACAGTTTCTATTTTTGACTGATTCTAGAATTTTACGTATCTGACTTTGTAAAATCAATTAAAAATAGTAAATCAACTCCAAAAATCATAAAATTTTGAGGAAAGGTTCTAGACATGTAGATAAACATGTTAGAAAAATAATTTCTAAAATATCATTTCCCAGTTGAGATAAATAACTATTTTAACACAGATATACAGTTTCTAAAAAAACCGCAGAAAATACGATTTTGTAAATTCAATTGAAAATAACAAAACAACTCCAAAAATAGTAAAACTTAGGGAAATGTTTGTATATATGATGATAAACATGTAAACGAATAAATTTTTCAAATCGCATTTCCCAATTGTGAAAATGCATCAATTTTGTAAAAACATGCACGAACATGTGCACGAACATGAGCTAATTAAAAACTTGATTTTGTAAATTCAAATAAACATAATAAATTAATTCCAAAATTGATAAAACTTTATAAAACATTTATAAACATGATATTGAACATGTTAGAAAAAGAATTTCTCAAATTGAGTTTCCCATTTATGAAAACTCATGTATTTTGCAAGTGTGTCCAAAACATAAAAATGTGATATACTTGAAATTTGATGTTTTGACATAACAATGTTTTGAAACCCTATGAAATAATTTTATAGACCTAATAAAATATGTATACAATAATTGTTAAGTCCATAAATCAAAACTTGTGTATATATATAACTATATATATATATAAAAATCAAATATGTGTGTATATATATGATTGAGCTTAAAGTACTAACACACATAATATAAAACCTAAACTAAATATACCCAAGTTGTTGTCGGGTAAACGCGATAAGAAATCGCGTGGGCCTTATATAGGCCCTGCCCCAACTCCACGGGACTTCAAGTCCCATGGAGTTGCAGGCTGAATTTTAGAGAGCGATGCTCTCAAGAATTCCAGCCTAAAACTTTACGGGACTTGAAGTTTCGTAAAGTTTTGATCCTCCTAATCAAGTTGGTTATGTGGGGCTTAAATTTCATGGGACTTGAAGGCCCGTGAAATTTTATAAGTTTTTTCGTGAAATTCGAGTTGGCTGAACTGAGCCGAATTTGGTAACTATTTTTAAAATAGATTGTTTTTGACAAATAAGCTTCTAAAGGCCGTTTTTTAAATTTTGTCCGAGAAAGAACTACCCGAAAAAAAAGAATAATTTTTCAAAACAGACTCATTCGGATTTTTATTTTTCAAAATCGACCGTTTTTTCTTTTATTTATCAAAACCGACCGGATTTTGTGATTAGCAGGTTAATCACTATCCTAAATAGTCGGGGTTGCCAACCCCGACTATTTAGGAGGGTGTTAAACCCTAATTAAAGGCCTTAATTAGGGTTTAACACCCTCCTAAATAGTCGGGGTTGGCAACCCCGACTATTTAGGATAGTGATTAATCTGCTAATCACAAAATCCGGTCGGTTTTGATAAATAAAAGAAAAACCAACCCCGACTATTTAGGATAGTGATTAATCTGCTAATCACAAAATCCGGTCGGTTTTGATAAATAAAAGAAAAAACGGTCGATTTTGAAAAATAAAAAACTAAATGGGTCGATTTTGAAAAATTGTTCGAAAAAAAATTTCTCGCCTTTTCAAGCCGCTCACCGCCTCCATCAACCCAAGAGTCCAGAAGCCAACGTTCTAAGTTTTTCCGATGAAATCGGAGCGGGGTTCTTGCGACGAGATTCCTGTTTTCATCGACACCAACATCGGCACCCATTTGGCATTGTCCATTCCCCCCGACATCAAAGCTGGCGATCTCAAAAGTAAGGGATTAAAAAAAAGCAAACATAATAAATTACATTTCATTCATCTTTGTTCTATCAATTCCAGTGAATAGGGCCGGTTTTGTAGTAGAAAAGTTTCCGCCTTTGAGTCGATTTTGGTGGAAAGATTCGATCTTGATGTCAATGCTGCCGTCACGCCTGTTGTGTCTTTGAACAAATGCCATAACAGGGATTATATTTCCTACTGTGTGTTTGGGAGATGAGGGGAGGGAAGGAAGGGGAAAAGTTCCCCTCCCCTTCCTTCCCTTCCCCTTCATCGATCACACCCTAATTTGGGGCTCAAATTTCCTACCCATTCCCCTCCTCTACCCTCCAAAATGGAACTCCCAATGTTAAAATTAGATTTCTCTTCCCCTCCCCGTCTCTGCCCTCCATCCAAACAGGCCATTAAAGTTGTATGTTTGTGTTTCGTATTTTGATTCTGATACTTGTGTGTGTTTTTCACAGGGAGGCTTGAGAAGGAGCATTTGTCATGTTTTGGAAATCTTGGAGAAATCGTAGTCCATACGCTGATGGTATGTAGAGGTTTTAAATTCTGCTCGCAAGCTTGGCATCCTCGTTATTTTGTATTTTGGTGCTTGAATGCTTGATGGTACTTCGTGTCATTGAAACATAAAAGCTTTATAAGTGATGCTATCATCGGTGGGGGGGAAAGAAAATAATGTTAAATGGCGCGATCCTATCGTCATTTCACGTTTTTGTATGAAGTATACCATTGAATGTCGATATCTAAGCAGTTCTTTTGATCTAATTGATGGATGATAAATATAGCATTTCTTTTGATCTAATTGATAGATGATAAATATATTCCATGCTGTCCCTTCTTGCAGTGCCATTGCTCTATTGTATGTGCTTTTAGAATTTCTGTATATATGGTTGTTAAGCGAAGAGCTTGGTTGGAAATATATAAAGAAGGATATAATGATGGTAAGCTTCATGGAGAGAATGCTCACAATACAATTGAATAGAGGAATATGATTCATGTTGTTGTTGCTGTATCTCCGAATCTTTTATTATGTTGGATTTGTGTACATGTCCATGAGCCCAACTTTGACGCTTCTTATATGCATAAACTAAAACTTACGCTCAATTTTGCATTTTGCTAATCTTCTCATGTTTCTGACATTGCCAAAATTCTCTATTTTCATATTTCCTATTCCCTTTATTAATCTTTGTAGGTGAAAAGGAGATCATATTTTTATCATCTACCAGATTCATTGCCTATAAAGAGTGCATTCCATGGGATTCGAAGAACTTGGTTCCTTCAGATGAATGCATCTATGTTGCAGAACATTGAATCGGATGAATCACCATTGAAGCGTACACAAAATCATAAAGATCAAATGATACAATCAAGTGAAGAAGAACCCTCCACACTGAGCAACAGCGATATTACACAATGCTCTCAGCTTGAGAATCTCATCACCTTCAAAGATAAGAGTAGGGTTTCAGTTGTCAATGGAGAACAACCAGAAACTCACCCTGTTCCTATGGATAACGGAAATGCTAACCATTTGTTATCTGGGCATCAACTTGAGAGTCGGGATGCTCCCAGCATGAATATTTCTAAGGAAATATCGGTCACAGGTATTATATCAAGGTACTTCTCTGACTCTGATGGGGTAACTTCATGTAGAAAGAAGCATAAACAAAAGTTTGAAGAGACCCACATGAATGATATCGCTTCTTTAATTAGAGCTTCAAATTTTTTAGTTGATCAAGTAAGCACGAAGAGGTTGGTGGAGTCAGATACTGATTCATTGTGCTCCGTTAATAATGTCATCATCTCCGATATGAAGCAGTTTAAAGCTGCTAGCTCAGTTGTTAGAAAGAGAACAAGGAGATGTAGAAGGATGTCTCAATTTCGATATTCTGAAAAGGCTCAAGTCGGTAAGAAACTTATCCAAGCAGCGAATAATATTTCAATTTCTGGCAGCTGGAGAAAATTATCAAGGCCAACGTTCATGGAGAGGTGTGGGAATTTGCTAGCGCATGAATCAGGTGGTTTAGTTAGGAACCTTGCCTTTGAGATTGATGTTTTGGATGATTGAAGTAGCATTTACTGGGAGCTACTGAGCCTACGGAGGCTGGAGGATGGCCTTATCAGTAATGGATCAGGCATTTTTTTGGTGAAATCCATGTATCGATAGGGGAGCCAACGGAACCTCGTAAATCATAGAAAAACCCCTCTGAACGCCCTGAACTCTGTGAATCATTTCAAAATTATATTAAACCGCCTGAACTATTGGATATTGGAAATTAGACTACCCCTTTCTTATTTTTGGAATTAGGGAAGCTATCTTTAGTAGATAGGGGTAAAATTGTCCAAAAGCTGTCAAATGTAGAGCATGTGACAACTTAAGATTAATCTCAGTCATGAAAGTTAAGTGAGACAAGTTCAGAAGGGTTCGCGATATGATTTATGAAGTTCATAGGCGGTTTTATGCAAAACCCTCCGTAACTTCATGGGATCTTTTGTGAAATGCACCCGAGATTTAATTTTGCAGATGATGTTATTCAGTTCATTTGGCCTGGCTTGATGGTGATCCTCAACCATGAAAGATAAATTCAGCATAATGATAATGATATGATATATGCTCATTATGCTGATGAAAGGAAGCTCATTCTGCACAAAAGCCTATTATGTATTGCACTCACCAACAAGCTGTGTTTGCTCGTGTTGTGCCGTTGATTTTGAGTTTTGAGTTAGGGAAATCTTCATTGGCTATTTGATGAACTTACCTGAATGTGTAAGATGTAACACCACAGGGTGATCGTATTAATTCAATATAATGGTCTTAGTATAATCCATGTTCTTGCTCTTTTCTTTGGTTGCTGTGGTAGTATCTTGCAGAGCTTTTTACTTTTAATTTTAGTACTGTGAATCTGCCGCCTGCTAAAGTTTCATACTTAAAACCTCTCTGATGTAATGTCAACCAACAGATTCTCACTGCAACATCCTGGAAAATCTGCCATCAGAAGGCAATTATCAATTTTAAATTTATCTCTCAAATTGGACCTTCGACAACACAACTATGAGCTAGATTCTGGAAACTCGCAAGGAAATAAAATGATAATTTGCATGCAATTTCAATTTAACTTAACCTCCTATTTACTAAAACTCCTATCCGCTCATTTTGCTGGAATTAAATGAATCAAAACAAACCTTCACTCGATAAAGTTAACCAATGTATAACAGAAAAAGGTGTCCCTGAGCTAAAATTATTTGGTAACTTATTTGTGTCTATTCAAGTCAACCTCTTACTGAATTCAACTTGTTATCCCCAATCTCTCAACTCTGAGTAGGAATGTAATACAAATCCAATGATGAAATATAGATATTCATAAAACAGAAATGATCAGACATATCAATGAAAACTAGAAAAACCCATTTAGATATTTACAGAGACACAAAGTTTGCCTGGGGAATCAACACGAACCGCTCATATGAATTCACTGAAAAATCATTTTGGGACTGTTTCATTTATTCCAGGTTCATGCCAGATGGGACAATATTCCACCAAATGAAGCTCTTGAGCATCGTGAGTGTTTCTTGCCTTTCTAAAATCAAAAAGTAATAATGGATGTAGACCATCAACAATCTGTTGAAAGTGCCTGTGTGCAACACTTGCCATCTTTATGCCACAGGTCATCGATGTCTTTGATGCAAAACTGCAGATATTAGATAAATGAATTTGAGTTTGATAAATAATTTCTAAAATAAATAAAGTATTTGCATTACCTTCATTGAGATCAAAAGAATTCTTCCGTGCGAATATTTCAGCTGGGTCCAAGTGGCGGTTGGAGAGTAAAATTTGATTTAAGGATTGTTTCCTGGAAAAAGAGCAGATAGAGAAAATAATCATTAAAATAGAACTGAACAATCCATCAACACTTAAAAGTAAATCTAAGTTAAACACCTCCTATGTCTGTTAGCACTTAGCAACGAGGAACCTTATCACACAGAGCTCTCCCCATCCCACCCCACGGTTTTTCAAGTTGCATCATGTTCTGTAACATATATAGGGTATAGATAGTAGGAATTCAAATAAATAGAAGCATCATCAGGTTCATAGGCATTACCAGCTATCAGAGCCAAAGATACATACACCTTTTAACCAATGAATAAATATAGCACAAATGTTGCAAGAAATTAACCATCTATCAATATCTTTCTTTTTCTTTCTTTTTCCCTCTTTTTCCCCCCTTAATTGGAGTTATTGCTTACCTTGCCAAATATACATACATTTTTTTACCAGTAAATAAATATTACCACAAATGTTGCAAGAAATTAACCGTACGGGGATTTCTTTTTCCTTTTTCCCTCTTAATTGGAGTTGTTTCTTACCTTGCCCATGGAGGAACGTGTTTCATGTTACGCCTGTAATCTTCATCTCCGTCTTCGTCATCTGAGTCTTTGTATGGAGTGATATCATATGATTGTAAACCTTGACTTTGTGTGGTCACAGACATGCGATCTTGAATTGTTGTTTGCGATTCATATGAATTGTTAACAACCTTTACAAGACCAAGAAAAGAAAGTAATGAGGCTGCTAAAATATTTCATTGATAACATTGACACACATGAGAAGTATAATATCACTGTAAGTTATAAGAAACTTCAGAATTATGTCATATACGTAACATCAGCATAATCAGATTTATCGAGATGAAAACTATGCATTTTATTTGTATACTTTCAAGTAAGAAGTGCTCAATAGTGAGCGAAGCATAGGAATTGCATGGCACATGATATTACAGGACATAGACACATTTTCAATACAGGGATTCAAGAATACAATAAATGCGCCTACACACACATACACACACAAAAAGGAAAAGAGAACGATGCAGAAAGAATAACAAACCAGATATCAACATAAGGATAATCATAAACCTTACGTCTTAAAATAATAGATACATAAAAAAGCAAGCATATTAATTAAAAAAAAAGAACAAATCGTGCAAGACAAATACTACACCTGACATTAGAAAATCTAATGATGCTCGAATAATAAACCAGATATCATCAAAAGGATATCATAAACCTTACTTCTTAAAAGAATAGATACATAAAAAGCAAGCATATTAAAAAGAAAAAAAAAGAAAAAATCCTGAAAGACAAATCCTACACCTGACATTAGAAAATCTAATGATGCACCATTGATGCCTGGAATATTTTCAGGGCATTCTACCAGCAATACTGTGGAAAGCAAAAGGCAAAGCAAAGTGGGATTTAGAAATTCGGCTTTAGGGATTTTTAGCGGGGTTTATGAGAAAAAGTGCAAATGTTATTTTAAAATTAGCTCAGAAAATTGAAAAAAGGAAAGACTCAATACGGAGTGTATAGTTTAAAAATCTTAAAATTTAGATGCAATACAAAAAGAATACTGAAGCATTTTGAGACAAATATAATAAGTATACCATCAAAATGTTTAAAAGACACCAATGGACCTATTATTATTCATTCATTCGATCGTTCAATGTGATAAGTCAACAGAATTTATTTATGGAAAGAAATTGATGCGGGACAACCTATGAGATGTGAATAGATTTGATTTAAGAATTTAGTTAGGATTTTGTTCAATCTTGTTAGAGTAAAAACACTGCAGTTGGTATATGGTTTAGATATTTACTTATTTAGTTAGATAGTTTTCTTTTATGTTTCTTTAGATTTGAAATGTTGTTAAGGATTTATTTGTTTCTATCAGATTATAATTTGTTAGTTTCCTTATAAATAATCTGTATCCTCTCTTTTAGAGGCAGACAATGATTAATGAAAATTCCTAGATTTTGAAAAACATCTTTTGCAGCATGTGAGTTACTAATTTGAGTGTGAAGCCCTCCTCTATCTGTAATTTTATCATCTTGTTCTTTTGTTTATCTATCCCAGATGATCCACCATTCACAATCCCACTGCTTCCTGCAGTTCCCAAACATCCCCCAATTCATATGTGGTGGTGACTTCATCAAACAAGCAACTCCCCCCTCTCTGTTTTCTCATTTCCTGCAGCAAGACAGCCCGACCATGACTCAAACAGTACCTGCAGTCCCATATCCTTCTTTGCTTGATCCTCGAACACCTGAAAGTAGTCAAACAACCAACCAAACTCACAAACCGCCTTCAAACCTTGATTCAGATCAATCCTCGAGCAGATCTTTTATCTTTAATAATCTACATCCACAGGAATCATGCTCAGAGTGGACTCCAAGCTCGACAACACTACCGTTCCAAAAGTCAGAAATGAAAACTAATGTTAAGGACTAAGAAATATCTAATACCAAAAAATTTCACATACAAAATGTAAACATGTGAGGAAAAGAGATCAAGACACTCAACTGGTGAACAATAGTGAGGTCTTTTAAAAATAAAAATTAAAAACAATAGAAAATACATACAGAAAGATCAAGGATCTTTTGAGCCCCTATTCAAATAAGCTCATGTCTGTCTCAACTGTATGAAGTCAAGCATTACACAAATCTAAAGACTGAATATGACAAAGAAACTTGTCAGATCCTTCCCTATCGTGAGAGAACTAGCAATTATTGGTAAGACTATAAGGAGGTGAGATGCAGAAATTAGAGAATATCTCTCTAGTGACACATAAGTTGATTTGATCTGTTGGGTTGCACAGAATAAAGTGCACAGCCCAAGGGGTTTATCCCACTTTGGACTAAGCAGATTAAAGCAAATAAGCCAGTTTTGAAGCCCTGTGAACAAGAGCTTCAATATTTAAATCCATCTTAATTTTTTATGCTAGAACATTAGTAAGAAACATGCCAAATGGGCTGCTTCCGCTAATCGAGGCTTTATAGGTTTTTTTAACAACAATGGCGTACTAAATTGACCAACCTATGCCGAATTTTTTTCTTTCTATGTATCAGTTTGATCCAGATATTTCTCCAGCTGTCTGGTAAATTCTCTTTTATCCTTTTAGGCTGATGTTTGTGAATTAAATTCTCTTTTATCCTTTTAGGCTGATGTTTGTGAGTGAACAAGTCAGGTTTTGTAGGATAAGTGCAAGTGTCTGCTATGTAGGGTAATTTGAAGTCAGTTCTTATCAAAACAAAATGTAGCATTCATGTCATGTGAACTATAGACTTAGTATAAAGATGAAGCACAGAAATCACACGCACGGCATCAGGTATAAAATGACATAGATAACGCAGTCATTAGCATGTAATTGCTACTTACTGGGGTTAATATATTTTAAAATATAAAAATATAAAATATTGGTACTGAAAAGGTAAAGAATCACCTTATTTGAATCATATGTTTCGAGACAATCACCATGCAGTTCCCTAGAAGTATTGACCTTTAAAGAGTCCCCACACACAACCTTGGAGATGCTTGGTTCTGCTTCTGAGGTGTTCCTATAAGTAGGAACTTCTCTTCCTTTTACTAAATGTGGCTTCTTTGCTTTTATTGCCAACTCCTTTCCCTTGCGTTTCTTCCCATTCTAAAATATAATTGTATTAGCCCACAATAAATAGATAGAACCTTGTAACGTATTAAAGGAGAAAAAGGAACTTACTGCATTTTTATCTTGCAGTTCTTTATTGCCTTTCTCTACACGTAGCCTTTCAACAATTCTTTGTTGTTTACGCGCTTCTTCAGTGCATCGCCTCTTCCTTTCTTTCTCATTTTTTTCCATTTCTCTTTGCCTTTTCCTTGCTTCAATTGCTGCTTCCTTTTTCTTCTTTAGTTCATCTTCCTGCTTTTTCTTTAGTTCCAACTGCCGCATGTTTTCCTGTTCTGATCTTATCCTCTCAAGTTTGGCTGCTGCTTTCTTCATTTCACGCTCATATTGTCTTTTTTCCTCAAGACGCTTTGCTGCTTCAGCAGCCTCTAGTGCTTTAATTTTGATGTCCCTCTTTCCTGATATGTAATAGAAGATTAGATAAAACATCATTACAAGTTGGAACTTATTCATTAGCTCAAGCAGCACAGTAGAGTTCTTATCAGATGGTGATGGTGATGGTGATGGTGAAGACATGATCATGAAGATGATGATCTAGTAAAATGTTTTAAAAAACAGAAGCGCGAGGTGAAGAGTTAAGACCCTTTTCATGAAGTGAGGAGCATGAGCTGTAAGCCTCACGAGTTAAGTATATTTTAATTTTTAAATGTGATAAACATATAATATATAGTGTTACAAAAATTTACAATAGACACATTCAGGTCTTGATTATTAAATAAGAATTAAATATGCTAAGTACAGATGCAAGTCATAACATGCTAAGCTACACTAATAAGATACATATCTTATTTCAAGTCACGTTGTCATATTGAAGACATATAGTCTAAGGTTAAATTTATTAAAGGGGAATCCTTTAGAGGAAAATAAAATGAAGAACTAGAGAGCATTTTAATTTTAGTCAAAAATTATTTTATATCCCACTATCTTGTCTAAAGTGTGCGCTTCAAAAGAGAAGCATTTCATAGAGCGTGAAGCGCACACTTTAGTTATGCTTTAAGTGATGATGTCTAGGCTTGAAGAGAGAAATAGCTTCATTTATGAGTTTTGAAGCAATAATCCTTCAAAGAGTTTCTAATCCATTGATAAAGATAACAATAACAATAATGAAACGGTAATAATTCTTCAACAAAGAGATCCCTGGTTACTAATTTAGTTATCTCTGACCTAGAAGTGGATGGCAGCAGTAGGAGATATAAAACTTGAATAATGAAAAGGAAAGTACCCATCTCAGGAGCTGCTTTCTGTTGCTTTTCACGAACGAGCGGTATGAAAGAAGATACATTAGATACAATGTTGTCGGGCTTACCCTGCTTTTCAGAAACAGTGTTACCTCTATTTTTCTCATTCGCTTTTCCAGATCTATCTGGGTTACTGACCCAACTACAGATAGAACTAGCAGAATTTTCCACAACACTTCGAGTTAATGGAAGTCTCTCATTCTCCGTATAATTAATATCCACTAGAGGTGCTATGGAAGAAGAATCTAGACTAGCTCTTTCTAGATACTTCCTGCACAAAGAAACTGAAGTTGGCATGTTCTGATACATTGAAGTTACATCAGCAAGTGCTGTTCTCTTTGTCGATGTCTGGACCTCTTTTGAACCAAACACCTGTTCAGAAGCAGGTTCTTCTGCAGTAGTTGTAGAATTCTCGTCAATTCGGAAACACACAAGCTCAGGGTTAGAACCCTGTTCCTCTGAGCTGGCAACACTTTTCCTCAAGATGTTTCTTTGATGCAGCTTTCCAACTGGAGGTGTTAAAGGAGGTTTCCTAGCCTCTTGTGCATATCTAGCATCTGAAGATGAATAATTGTAAGGATGTGATCTCAATGAAAAGCCATCAAATGCTGATCTCAAATTGCAGCAAGGATCAGTTGTCTTATCATCTTTTATAGTCCTAAATTGATCCGAAACAATACCATCTATGCGAAGAGAATCACTCAAGTTCAACTGCTCTAAAATATCTGCAGGTAAAGAATGAAATACATCAGAGATTTTATGCATATTACATTTTGGTGTAGAACAGGACTTTGGGGCAAGCTTACTTCCTGATATGTGCAGCTGTTCAAGCAAAGAAGCCCTTTCTTTTGAAAGACTTGGAATTTCAGAGCCACTGAATGTAACATCACCCTCCATAGTAGGTGAAACATTGATGCTGAATCCTTCAAACTCTGGCATGGTCTCCTGCAAACCAACCTCACAGATGTCATACTGATGAGTCAAGCATGCTGAATCATATGTACATGAGCTTGCCTCTCCGATATGCATCTGTCCTATGTCAACTGATTCTTCCAACCCACCAGAATTTATTGGGCTTCTATGATCGAATCTATCTAAACCATCCTGTCTGCTTTGAGGAACATAATTCTGTTCCGCATCAAGAATGGTAGATTGAGCAATTGCACTGGAGTTATCATCCAAATTAAGACGTCTATTTGTATGCTTAATTGACAAAGGAGTTTGTACACAGCATTTCCCTGACAAGTCATGATCACCCTGGCAAGTAAGAGATATCAGCCAAATGAATACAAACATATTGCAACAAACTAGGCAGTGAGAGATATCAGCCAAATCAATAGGGACATATATTACAGCAAACTAGGTAAGCTCAAAGTGAAACAAAAACTCACAATGCTTCCTAAGTTCCTATGACTACTCAACAAAAGCATTTCAACTAAAATTGAAATAATCAAATAGACAACTTGATTCTAGAAAAAATGGACATGCTATTTATGATTTTCTAGTCATTAAGAACACTGTATCAATATAAATTTTATCAGTCAAGGAGATAAACCCTCTTAAGACCCTTTAAGACAGAGAAGATGTAGATCTCCAATAAAACATGTTTACATCAAAGGCATGGGTATAAGCTCTGCCATATAAGAACTAAATGAAGATTCATGCAATTTCAGTACCTCAACCCGGCATTTTTTATTTTGGTGTTGTTCTTCAAATTGGCCTGATGCGGCATCGAATAACCTATCTCCCAGCTCACAAGATGGCATGCAAGGCTGGAAATCAATACAGGATTCTGAAGTACCATTTAAACTTGTCCTGCAAATGCAGTAAATGTGCTTCTGTTTTTTAACTTTCGACCTCGGTGAAGTAGCAAGCACATTATTTGAGCGAGTCTTCATTTTTTTCCTTTTAGGCCACGTAATATCACATGTGTTCTGCTCCAAACTACTTGAATCATCAATCCTGTTGGACTTTAGTGTAGCATAATGCTTGTCATTATTGGCTGAGCTCCTCAAAAAGTACCGAGCTTTTGGCACTGATTCATACTTTTTTTCAGCATCTGGTGTTATTCTTTCTTTTACAGTTCCCATTTCATTACAATCCCTTTTACCTATAAAAAAATAGTAGAGAATCACATTACCGAAACAATTCTTCTAAGTAAAACAAGAACATAATATCCCTATGATAGCTATCTAACAACAGTAGGTAGACAGAATGAAAAACAAAGCTTGAATAAGCCCGAGTTTGGAACTGCATCTTTATAGTACAGACACTTTTGCCTAATCAAGAATCAGGAGAACTCACGTAATTGATGACTCCTAATTAATAAAGGGTTTTCAAGAACCATGGGAAGATTTCCTCCATAGCAGTTCATGACTTCTTTATAAGCAACTAACAGTTCTTTCCCCCCCCACAAACGAAAAGGTCCTCTGTGAATTTTCCTTTTTCCTTGCGGTCCCCCCCCACAAACGAAAAGGTCCTCTGTGAATTTTCCTTTTTCCTTGCGGTCAAGTGTGCTTTCACCAAAAGAACATCTATTAATAGGCCAACGTAACCTGGTATACTTTCAGAGTTAGAAGTATTTTCAAGTTTTAAATGGACTAGGCCAGACCACTTCAACCCCAGGCATTGGTTACGACCTAGGTTACCCAGGTACTTCTATCATGAAGCCGTTCCCATACCGGACACATCCTTATGTCCAAACTTCATGGACAATCCTTGGATGTATGCATACATTTATTCAATACTCAATTGCATGATATATCTTTAATTTTAGAACACTTGCCATACACTTCTTGGACGTATATCCTACATTTCACATCCATTTCTTGAAACCCATTAGACATACAGGCTTTTTTTCAGTCCGTACCAAAGTTAAAAACTATGAAAGGGTTGTTTGGGTGTCTAGTTCAAAAACAAGTAGTTTCCAATTTATAATAATCAACATTTTAAAAGAAACATAGAACTGCGATAGGAAATATAATTCTAATAACATATGTATTGAAAAACAATAATGACCTCACGTGAATTATTAATCTGAATATATATATGTAGCCGTGTCCTTGTATCTTACCTTTTACAATTTAGTTGTGTCCTGTACCTGCAACTGCACCCGTATCAATACATGTACCCATCTCCATGCAACTTAGATTACGATAATACTAGACATACAAGACCTGTTAATACTTTCAAACTTAGAAGTATTTTCAAGGTCTAAAGAGACTAGGACAGACACCTTCAACCCCAGGCATCGGATACGATAATGCTAGACATACAAGACCTGAGTTAAGTACACAAAATGCTCCAGAGGGTGATGCAGACCACTAGTTTTGTTTCATCACAGTTGTCAACAATTCAACTAGAACTCCATAAGGAGATTCTCGAAGTGTATAGTGAAATTTCAGCAATATCTACTTCCCTGCCTAAGACACATTATGATTAACATCCCTAGGTCTGCAAAAGAGGGAAAGGTTGAGGTTCCAAAATGTCACCGGATGATTACAAGAAAGAACTAGTTATAAGACTCAAACATTGCGTTGAAAAAATTTCAACAAGTCCTACCTTCCAGCATCTCATTCTGACGTTGCAAAGCTTCTGGAGATACTATGGACTCACCGGCAATTTTTTGTGAAATCTCTTTTGTGGAAATTTCAATTTCTTCAGCTCCCACAAGCACTTTATTTTCTTCTGTAGAGTACAACACTGGTCTATCACAGTGCTCAATGTCCGTCCGTTTTCTAGAACCACATATTGTTTCAGCATTTTCTCTACATGGTGATGTGGCAGGTAATAAAGCACTGGCATCACCAACAGGAATGAGAGGACGACATCCCCGGACCTGGTTTCCAATTATGTCAGACCTCACATCTTTGTCAACATCTGATGCTCTGTTGGCTCTATCAGATTCAGGAACAAGGTTCTCACTTGAATCACATTCTTCAATCCTGTTTAAGGGAACATGAACTGTTCCCACAGGATACCTGTCTTCAGATTGCTTAGCGACAGCAACGTCTATTGGCCCATCTTTAGTCTTAACACAACATTCCACTCCCTCTGCACACAGAATCCTGAACGAATTTTTCCTGGTAAGACAACTAAAAGCAGAGGTATGACCAGATGTATCCAAGGAGTTTAATATACAGGTTCTCTCAAGTAATGAGTTAGACAAAACATTTTCAAAGGTGGAACAATCTTCTGAAGATGATGCTGGGTGGATTATGCACACAGATTTCTGTCCTGGCAGCTGAGCTCCCTTCTCCGGCATTTCATTTGAAACTACGTCAATTTCTCTGCTCTGGTGTATGGTCTTTGCGGTATCAGGGACACCCTCCTTCTCAGTCTCCCAGAGTTTTGAATTGTTGTTCGCACTCTTAGAACCTTCAGGAACCATTCCATCATTCAATGCAGAATTCAACTTTGTGGGAAAAGACTCCAAATCTGTCTGACTTTCCTTAACAGAAGCAGCAATTGATCTCTTATTCAAGTGACATGTGCCATTGCTGATAAAAGTACCAAGATCTGTTGTTTCATTTGAAGATGACAAGCCCGTCAAGCCTAGATGAGAATCACATTCGGAATCCACCACTTTAGGCATCACCAAACTTTCACTTTCAGTTGGATCTCTGTCAGCTTCTTCTACTCTCCTTATGGTACTCAGTGCTTCTACTCTCCTTATGGTACTCAATGGGCAGAAAATATCCTCATGTAGTTGTGTACTAGGTAAAGAGTGATGACAAACAGTCATTTCATAATTTTCTGCTTCAGAAGTAGAAAGCGAGTTCACATTTGGACGAGGTCCCTCAATTCCATCAATAAGCTGCTCTGATTTTGACAATAAGGTAATTGCAGATAACCTAGAAGTTAGCGAATTTGTTATCTCAGAACTGTTAGGAGCAGCGAAAGCTGAATCCAAGTAAAGGCCGTTTTCTACAGAAGTGTTATGTGCATCATTATCGATATTTGCAGATGGCACTGAAGAGACACCTTTTTGAGGTTCGGCTAATTTGGATGTCTGACCAACAGAATGATACTTCTGATTTGTAGATCTTGATCGAATGGCTCGACCTTTATCTTTGACATAGTCATGACTCGAACAGGTAGACATTGACCTTGTCACTCTACCAGTGAATTCATGAGCATTTTGCACAACCGGGCTTAAAGTTTTTGCTTTCTTAAAAGGGGGGATATATGGTTCCTTATGCTTTATTGTTGACATCCGAGACTTAGTAGGTTGACTTAACTTGGAAGAATTCTCAGTAACTTCAGGTTGTAATATCATCTCAGAATTATGCTCGCTGACTTGAGGGACGTCAGCAGCTACTAACTCATCATTAGCCTGTACTTCACTATATTTATTTGAAGCACATGTTTTGGTGAAGAAGCTGTTGGCATTAAACAAGCATGCTGGAGCAGTAACATGTGGAAATGGGTCTAATATCTTAGAAAGGATCTGTTCTCTATTGAACTCTGCATATAGATGAAATATATTTAGAGGATGACATAAAAGTCAATTTAGGACAAAAAGGTAAAAGCCAGTATTGCAGCAGATAGTATGGAAAATGCAGTATATAAACATGCAAATGCAATCCAGTTCACAGACAATATTAGCCCCCAACCCACATAGAAAAGCAACATCAAGCTAAGTAATGAAAAACAGTTGGCTGAAGAAGTTTCAGTAAACCAATCACAAAGACTAAAATTGCAATGACAATTTTTCAGTAAAACAATCACAGAGACTAAACTTGCAATGACAAATACAAATTTTACTGAAAATTTTTCAGTAAAGTTGCAATGACAAATACAAGAGTAGGCTGTTCTTAAAAAATAAAAAAGATAGTTAAGTTTTCCAAATTGATCTCCTAGCCTCCCGTGAATAACTCAGAACACCCTATTTGTATGCGGGTAATCTGACAAAAATTTGTACCCGTCAATGAATATAGAGGAAAAATGAGAAAATAAAACAAGGCAATTGCCATTACATTTTCACTAGAAATTAATATCAGTAAATGTTACAACTGACAAAATTTAAATATAATAGCAGAATTCTTTATGTGGGCGTATATACTCAGCCTAGCAGCAAAAAATGTTTAAACTGGACAGCAGATTTTAAAAGAACTAGTTTTTGTAAATCTAAGCCTCTAGAATTGTCTTTGGTTGTTTGTACTTCGGAAAAAAAAAGCTACAACACCTTCTAATTCATACATACTTTAAGGCATCTAGTTGTTATTCAATCTAAATGGCTAACTGCTAAAATAAGGAATTATCAGGAATCGTATTTTAGTGGTTTCTCAGTATAAATTTTTTGGTAGTAAAATTACAAAATTAACAGAGATTGTATCACTACAGGCTACGAGATAATAAATAATTATGATAACAAAGTAGAAATGTGAATTCAACTGTTTATATAAAATGGCAGCTAGTAGCTCCTCCTATGTCAATGAATTACAAAGAGACTTTCATAGTAATAGAGAAGCAACTCCGGTGATCAAGAGCGTATCCACCAAAGCAATTTTCAAGCCCTAAAATATCCATTGATTTGAAATTATATGTTAGTTCAGATATAAATTTTGTAAGGTTCCTACGTGAAATCACCTCTAAAAGCTATCTGGTTGAGGGAGGAAACCCCAAATTTCTTAAAGCCCTACAATTGACTCCACGCTACCACGACCTAAGCACCAGACTAGTACCAAGCGAACACTGCAATACCACCGTCACTACCCATGCCACTCGATTGCAAATGGAAGATTTGCTCCGATACCATTTCTCCAAGGCCTACCCCTGAACGGTAGAGGGAGACTCAAATCTCTTATAAAGTCGCAATTGATTCCCATTCAGCCAATATGGGACTAAATGGACCCTAAAAAGATTCCCCCTTCCCCTTAGTCAAAACTAGACTACACACACAAAAGCGATTAGGGTTTTAGCCCAAATCAAATAATAACAAGATATTGCATTTCACAAAAGACACAATCCCGAGAACAAAAGACCCAAACCCTTAAACTTATCACAAACGACTGGATTGCATGAAATTAAAAAAAAAGGGAATTTCCAAGAAACGGGAAAAAAGTCGGCACCTTTGGGCTCATCAAATCCCGAGGTCAAGAGGCACGGCGGGGGGCGATGACCTTCGGCCAAAAGGTTAAATGCGAGAGATTGACCGTAAGAATCGACCTGGTGCTTGAATTGGTCCTCGATCCACCGCTTCCGATCGAAGATGTTAGTGAAGAGGTGCTCCATTGCTGACATCCTGATCGCGAGATTGTGAAACCGTAACAAAAAGAAGACGGTCAAGAGGCTACATTTTAGGGTTAGGGTTAGGGTTCTTTCTCGTTCGAAGGTGATGAGAGAGGGAGACAGAGAGAGAGAGAGAGGAGGAGGAGGAGAACGAAGCAAAAGGATTTTAAATTTTTTGAAATCGCAGGGTCCGGTCCGTTTTGGATCTGGACTCAAGTGTAAAACGGCAGGTGCTCTTCACGGTAAAATTCAATGGATTGGGTTTTTTTTGAGTAGGGTTTGCAAGCAAAATTAATCCGCATGATGTTGCGGTATTAGTGTGAGCAAAGACGGAAAATATTGATTTAAGCATTTGATTCAGATGAAAAGAGAAGTTTTTATGATAGACTCATTCGATATTTATTCAAAAAAAAAAAATAGATCCACTTTAATTTTATTTATAAAAATAGAATCAATTTAAACTGAGTTCGATTTAAAAAAAACACAATTTAATAATTAGGTAGGATCGTCAGCCACGTCTAATTAGCACATCAAAGTTATAATAACCGCGGCTAGCAGATATTTAGAGCTTAGTTCAAACATAATTGTGGTTGCCAACCAAGGCTATTTTGATCTTAATTATCATCGCTAATTAAAAGGGTCTGCCAACCCGACTAATTAGTAAACTATGTTTTTTTTTTCAAATCGACTCAATTTCAGCCAATGCTATTAAGCAGACTGAAACTAGGTCTAATTTTATAAATAAAATTTAAGTGAGTCTATTTTTATGAATAAATATTGAAATGGGTATATTTCAAAAAATTTGTCCTTAGAATAAATTTGAAATTGACAAGAAGATGCATATTTTGATCTCTTAGTTTATGTATGAGCACATTTTGTCATTAATTAGGCAAAGTAAACATTTCTTTGTATGATATTTATTGAAACCAATATACAAATAATGGTGAAATGGTGACTGTTTGGTTCAAAGCCTAAAATTATAAGATATGGAGTCCCATCAAGAATATCAAATCCATAGATTTTTATACATGCCTTAGAATCCCTAATTTTTTGCTTGGTTCAACAAGATTGTAGGAAAGCAAATCCTAGAATTTGTTATTTCTTGTTCCATTCAAATCCAAAAATATAGAAAGGTAAAAATAGAATACATGTATAATATCACCTTTGATGAGCTTACCACCTACATAAAGACAAGAATCATTATATTAAAAAGGGGGCAACCAAACCCTAATTTGTGCCTCAAACCTTATTGTTCTAACGACTATTAACGGCTCTTTTTCGGCTGAATTTTTGTATAAAACCTGATGCATCCATCAGTGTTGAGCAGGGGGAAATCTACAATAGAAATTTTCTTCGGGTCTAAATATTATAAAAAATATGCTATCAAAGAGAGCATTGAAAGGCATGAAGTTTGGTACAATTGCAAGATCCTAACTCCATTAAAAAATTTACAAAAATGCATGAACAAAGAAAGGTATTATTGGGGATATGCAAAATACCCGAAGAAGGAATGGAATTTCTTTGAGTGGGCCGATATTGATGATGAATTCAGCTACAACTCCATGAAATTTATCAAAGAAAGCAATGTTTGTGAGAAAAATGCTATGAAAATCAACAAGCAGAAGAAAGATTTGAGAATTGCAAAAAACCAAGTTGTTACTTGGAAAATATGGGCATTATTTTGAGTTTTTGCTTGTATCGTTCTCATCATTGCAACCATTATGTTGTGTATCATGCCATGTGTACCAGAAGCACCTGATGATCACATGACTAGGCTAGACAACATATACAATCGGACCAAACACTACCCAAAGAATATATACTTAAGCCTATAAAGAGGATCAGTACATACATATAATCCATCATACTCAGAATAGGATCAAAGAATCATAAATAAAATTAAATGCCAAATACCTAATATATAGCATAATCAAGTATACAATACAATACAAAATAATAGCGAGATACTCAACAAATATCAGCAAGTCCCACATATAGCGAATAACATAAAAGATATCACGAGTCTAATATCAATGTCATCATCTCAAAATACATAAAAGCTATGCCACACGACAACACAAGTCTGAAACAACAACTATAATAGCTATGTACATCAAAGTCACCACATAATAGTGGATAGATGAACATAAACAATAAAATCTGCTTCCAAGAAAACTGAAAATAGAAGTAAATACATTGAAAAAAAAAGGCTAATGCATGTGGTCAAATATTATAATTATTTACTTTACGTTTATTTATTTACTATAATATGGTTGTAAAAAACTTTATAATTATCATAATATATTTATTTTTTTAGATATTTCCATGTGTAATTTTAACATTTTGTCTTCCAGAGAAATAGTGATGTTTAAAGCCTTAAAATATTAATGATTTAAGATTAATTAGTAATTTGAATGTATAATTTCAAAATATTAATGATGTAAGGGACCAATACGGAAAAATCTATTATTATTAATAAAAAATAAATTCTTGAATTCATTACGGAAAATGGTAGGTTTTATCTAGTCATTAAAGATTTTGTTCAGTTATAAAAAAATTACTTCCACCTGTTGTTTATCTGACGATTGAGTATTATAGATATCCAAGAACTTTTTTTTAGAATTTTCTAAGTTAGAATGTGAAAATTCAATCAAGAAAGAAAATATAAATTATGTGATCAATTCCAAAATCTGATATTGTACTCTTTTTACATCTTCCCAACTACTAATTGATCTGTCAAAATGATTACTCTCTAATTTTAGAAAATTATGAAATATAGTCTAAGAATGATTTGTATATATTATGCACTCATATTGATTGTATTTTAACAAAATAATTTATATCTATCCAATGTCAAACAACATCTAAAATTTTAGTTTAAGGAGTTAGAAGAATACAATATCTGTAATAATACTCATATCCAATCTATGAGCTTCATAAACTTATAAGAATGTGAACAATATAAAATGATAACTTAATTTACTTTGTTAAATAATTTATTACAAATCATGCAAGATAAGGGGAATCAGAAGGATCATATACTCATCCTAAATAAATATTAAATTTCTCGAAGAGATTCTTACAGTAAAAGATTTTTAGAGTTGATGTGTTAGATAAATTTAAGGACAAATAACACAAACCAGTTCATTGAGTGATAGATTTGCTATAAACTCCACTCTTATAAAATTAATACCACATGTGCCTTAACTTGTGCATTTGTTTAAGAGTTAATTTTAGAACACTCCCCCTCCCCTGCAAAACTATTTAAGATCGAGTAAATCTCCGCTAAGTTTTGGGTGTTTTGCAGATAATCTATCTCAACCTTAAAATTTTTGATTTAACCCCAATGAACTTTTCTCACTTAAACCTAACCTCTCAAAATTAACATCATTGAGTCTTATCTATTATGTGATAAGTACTTAACTTGAAAAGACCAAAATATCAATCAATCATAAAAGAATTACCTTGGCTTTTGCTAGAAAAAAGAGGTGATATAAAGGGAAAACAAATTGTAAATTGGTTGTGATCCTTTTATTACCGGTTGATGGTTTTCTTTTTAATTAAAATTGTTTTCTTCAAGAGGAATTTTATCCAAATCGCATATCAAAGTTATTATGTTAAGAGGGTTTGTTGATAGAGCTGTAAAAGATTAGGGGAGTTTTTATGAGATACGCTATAGTTACGATATGTTTTCTAAAATTGCACCAAAATTAAGAGGGGTTATCTATAACACCCCACATAGTGAGGGGTTTTTGTCAAATTGAATCAGTTGAGTGGGTTTTTTAAGACAATACCCATAGTTGAGAGGGTTTTTAAAAAATTAACACTTCTTTTAAATATGGCTTATTTATAATTGTCCCTCAAAATTTTAATAATTTAATATTAGTCTCTAAAATTATGAACAATTTTAAAAATTTGTGGGAATCATTGGATATTTAAAATCAAGGAACTAATATCTAAATAATATTTACATATTTGCTCTTATAAGCACTCTATTAAATATCGACCAATATATTGCTATATCGGCCAATATATCGGGTTAAAGACTTTATCTCATTAATATTTTATATTATTTTCTTTTATTTATTGTTTTTTGATATATCGATTGTTATCGAAAATATGATTGATATATCCCTTTGAAGATATCGAGAAAATCATGACATTTTTAATTTGATTGTGGGATGGGTTTTGGATTGTGTTTGGGAAATAAAATTGGACCCCGCAAAACCCACAAAGGCCACAATTCTTCTCTAAAATCTCTCCACTTTAGGCTCTCACAAATCTTAAGCATATATCTTGATACAAATTCTTATGCTTAAAATTTATTAATATGTTAGATTACATATTACAATATCATGTTATGTATGAATATTATCTCATATGACACCTAATATTACACATATATCCCTGATTTTTGCAGCCCAATAGCATGGATTTTATTTTTTTAATATTTATTTGATGTCCAACACTTTGCAATAGTCCTTCAAAAGCATCTTCTAAAGTTTTCTAAGCAAAGTATATAATTCTAGGAAGTAATTCTAAATCTTAAGACTCATTTAAAATATAATGCTTTAATTTTTTTCGCATCTCTTCTGCTACATAAATATAAGCTAAACATTTGGCCTCATATTTTATGATGAATATTATTTATCAATGGGATCATATACTATTGTTTATGGATAACAAAGGTTTCAAATCTTTTGTATGCTTAACTGAACTTAAATACCTTGTAGTTTACCAGAATTATACTTATATACCTCTACTTGTATCTCGCTGCATTTTTTTAATTTTAGATAATGTGCCTTGATGCGCTTAAATATCCTAATATTTTCTAAAATTTAATGTTTATACCTTCCGTCTTGTTACATAAACATAAGAATGGTCTTTGTAATTTTCCTATATGAGTTTCATGATATAGTTTTAGGACAATTCTATGTTTTCTACTCTTTCCATAAATACTTTATTGACATGCACTTATCTATTAAAATATTATTATACATTACTAATAATTAATATGATATAGAGTTTTATAATAACGTTGGAAGTTCTAGAATCCAACCAGAACTGAAGAGGAGTATTATCAGTTTTGGAATAGGGTACTCTGTTCAGAATCTAATTTGCTATCAGCAAAACCTCTCACCAATAGCAAGTAGGTAGACCAGATGTGATTATTATTGAATTCACAATCTCAGTCAATGTACGATTCTTCCTTTCTGCAATTCCATTAGATTGC